AGGCTTGAAGAGAAAAAGGTCCATTTATCTAAACCTTCGTATCACTTCTACAGGACTTACTAGTTATACCTAATTCAATAGGAAGCAGTTTTCCTGTTGTCTCAGTGCTTTTGGAGGTATACTGACTTTAAAAAGTCAAGAATTTATAAAATTATTTTCTGTCAACCAAAAGATTATTCAAGATTAGCACTACATATAGTAATTGTGCTATATACAACAGTTAACAACATCCTGATTGTCTTCACATAAAAGAAACAAATTCATTTATCATGGTGTATGTGTATAAACATCAAATACACACATAAAATAATTTTGGTTTGGTGTTAGCAACAAATGTTGGCTGAATACTCATTCATTCATTTCAACAAACAAATAACTACCTAGTGGCTACAATGTGCCAGCCACTGTTGTAGGTGCCAGGGATACTGCAAAGAACAATCACAGTCCCTGGGCTCATGGAACTTTTATTTTAGTAGGGGAGACAGATAGCCTATTGATAAATATTAGCATGTCAGGTGACGATGGATGCTATGGAGAAAAACAAAGCAAAGTAGGGAGGTCAGCGAATGCCAGAGTGAGGGGGGATGAATGTTAGAGTGGCCGAGGAAGGTCTCATTGTTGACGTTTGAGCAGAGACCTATAGGAAATGAAACTTGGGGGAAAGTGTCTGAGCAGGAACAGCAAGTGCAAAGGCCCTGAGTGGGAGTGCACTTGGCACATTAGAGGAGGAATAAGGAGGCCAGTGTAGCTAGAATGAAGTGAGAAGAAAGGAAAATGGTATCTTACCAATAAAAGTCAGAGTTGAGGTTATCAGGTAGAAACTTCCAGGCCACTATGAGGATTTTAGCTTTCACTCTAAGCAAGGTGAGGAGATTCTGATATAGTAATGACAAGAGCCAAATTACATTCAAAGGATCATTCAGGCTCCTAAGAGGAGAACAGACTACAGGGAGGAAAAGGAAGTATAAGGATGAGCTATGGCACTACTAGAACAATCCAGCTGAGAGATGATAGTGGCTTAGACCAGGCTGGTAGAGGTTAGTAAAGTGGTAGTGGTAATAAGATTCTGGTTATATTTTCAAAGTTGAGCCAGAAGAATTTGTTAATAAAATACACATGAGAGGAAGAAGAGAATGGAAAAGGGAGGAAGAAAAGAATGGAGAGAGGGAGAGAAGAGTGATGGAGAGGGAGAGAGGAAGAGAAGTGAGAAGGAGGGCAAGAGAGAAGGTAAGAGTAAAAGAGGGAAGAAGGAAAGTGGCGCAGATGGAATGAAGAGGGGGAGAGAGAGCACTCCAGAGAAAGCGCTATGGGAGTGAGAGAGGGGAGAGAGACACAGGATGTTCAGGTTTTTCAGCCTGAGCAGCTAGGTAAATGGTGATGTCATTACTGAAATGGGACAGAATGAGGTAAAAGCAGAATTGAAGAAAGAATTCAAGTTTGGTTCTGGACATGTTATACTGAGATGCTTATTAGTGGACTGGGCAGCTGGATGTAAGTATAGAATTCTGGGGAGGGGTCCAGGTTGAAACATAAAAATGTGGAATTAATGACTGGCATAAAAAATGATATTTAAAGCTGTGATTCCATATGAGATCACTAAGCAAGTGAGTATAGACAGAAAAGATATCCCTGAGCCAAGCCTCAGGGCACCTGGATATTAAAAGTCAAGGAGAAAAGTGGGCACTAACACAGTGGACTGAGAAGGAGGAGTCTGCACTGCAGAAGAAAATTCAAGAGGAAGTGATGTCTCAGAAGAAAAGATGGACTTTTCTTATTACCTTCTCAAATATGCACAGAAGCAATATCCTGAAGTTGAAAAACTTGAGCTTTGGAGCAGAAGAGCTAGGATTGCATGATAGTTCCTTCAATTATTATTGGAGAAACATAGATGTTAAGCTACTATAAATATCAGTTTCCTCAATTATAAAGTGGGGAAAATGATAAATATTTATTTTACAGAATTATGATAGTCAATTAAGAAAATACAGGTGAAAATTGTAATCAGTAACGTGCTATAAAAAATAGTATTTTAAATCATAAAGTCTTAAAGATTTCTAAGTAAAGAGGCAGCATAGCAAAATCAGACAAACTTACTACCCTAAATACCTCAAAAAATAAATAAAAAGCCAAAAAAGATTAAGAGGGAAAAAATTCCATCCCTTATTCAACGAGGAGGAATTATAAATGCATACTATAAATTCTGAAAAGTGATGGCCAAGAATAGGAACACAGACTCTGATCAAGAACTGAGACTCCTATTCCCACCATAACTATTCCACCCCCAGAAGTTAGAAAAAAAATGAGTTGACAAAATTCTTAGAAGTCTAATATGCTTTCATTTGTAAGGAAAAAGATATGGGGGAAAGGAGAAGGAACATAATATGTGAGAGGCAGATAAGACAGACAAAGCATCCATTCTGAAAGAAAACCTAATAAAGTTCTCCACTAGTACTTTGTAATACAAAAAAACAACATGAATTTATTAAAAGAGATCAAACATACAGAATGAAAAGAAAAATGAGATTGCAAAGTTAAGGAAACAAACTAAGAACTGTAACATCATTACAGATCTAATAAATAAATCAAAAACAGAAATTGAATAGTGTAAGACTAAACAATTGGCAGCATTATAACTGCAAAACAGAAAGCAAATACTATAAACTCTGCCAAAGTTAAAATTCACAAGTGAGAAGTTGTGGAAGAGATGCAAGAGAAAAGGCATAAAAGTCCTAACCCCGCCGTCTCTCATTGCAAACTTGGTGAAATCTGCAAGTGTATTAAATAATTAATAAGTAGAACATACGTACTACTAGTGTGTTCAGGATGAGAAAAAAGTAGTCTGCATCTTGATGACGTTACATTATGGGCTGCTTTTATGTACCTTCCTAGAGCTCTCATTTACTTTTTGTTAAGGAACCACAGGAGAGTTTTAGTTCTAAAGCCTCTGCTCACCCAGAAACACTTTGCAAGGTAGATGGTACTACACAGCCAAGTGCAGAAACAGCACCAAGTTGAGGATTCTGTAATAGGTCTCCATTTAAATAATCTGAGATGTCCCCACTTTACTGTTCCAGTTACTTGGTTTCGTGCATCATGTTAGACCAAGATCCACACTGGCAGAGTTCTGAGATGCAGCTGATGGCATTCCCAGCATAGCTACCAAACATGCATAGAAGAGATAAATGTGGCAATTCTTCTAATAGGCACAGAACAAAATTCAACTCATTATTAGTCTTGTAAAGTATTACTTAAATCAGAATATATTCCATACAAAAATTTGCTTGCATATTTTTTACAGCTCCCTGATCAATTAGTAGTGAAAATAAACAAGCACTATAACTTAAGTTTTTTTCTTTTTTTTTTACACACCTACAGCACTTGGTCTTCCTAGGTGGTCTCCCATCCAACTACTAACCAGGCCCAACCTTGCTTAGCTTCCAAGATCAGATGAGATTGGGCACATTCAGAGTGGCATGGCCGTAGACAAGATTTAAGTTTTTAAACATGAAATTCTCCAGAAACAACAGCTGGGTCCAGGTAAATATTTAAAACTACATCAGTTTTACAAGCACATACTTAGCTCCATTATCCCTGTATCGCTCAAGATAATTACTACAAGAAGTTGGAGTCTACTGAGGACAGCTTTCCTGCTTCTAGCAGAAAAGCACCTCCAATAGCCATTTCTAAAGCTAACAATAAGACCCAAAGCAGTCCACAGATATTAAACTGTAATTATTATCTTCACATTTTATGTGTTTTCATTCTTCCTTTCAGGAGAATACATCTGCAGTCTGAATTCTTTATTACCAGTGATACTTTTGTTTCATTGGGAAAGACTCTACTTTAAGAGGCTAGTCCTCACATCGAAAATAGCTTTAACTTTAGCCCAAGAATAAAACAAGTCAAAATAATCATTTACGGATTTTTAACAAGTTTTACCCAAAATATTTTTTATAATCTCCAAGTGTGGAAAAGGAAAGTTAAAACCACATCTCAAATATATACATAGCATTGTTATTAATAATTTGAGTTTTACTTTAGCATAATATCTAGAATGTTTGACAAGGTTACGGAAGTGACAATATGAACAAATAAAGGCCAGCCTATAGGAAAATGCAAAAGCCTATGGTTAATTCAAGACTTTTTGCTGTTCTTACTCAAAGAAATCAAATGTGATCTTGGGAGATTTATCTTCTTCAACCTCCTTTTAGCATTAGAGTACACTAGACTAACTTGGACTTGCACACAAAGGCTTAATTAACTCACTTATTAGCCTAGGTCTTCCTGCTGCTTTCCTTCACAGGTCATTATATTACTAGCCAGTTTTCTTTTCTTCTCCCCCACCCCCATCCAGAAAGAATTTTTTTTATTTTGCACTTCAGTAATCCATCATTACTTACCAGCATTATCCTTGAATAAGCTGAATAGTGTCAATATAGATCCAAAAATAAAAGATCTGCATTTCCGATATACTTCTAATTTTAAAATCAGTTACTAATAAAACTCCTTTTATGTTATGAAATGACATGTTTAATAAATACTCTTTTTAATCAACTAGCTCTTCAAATTAAAATATTTTACTTAATTAAAATAAAATAAGTGATAAAATACTAACATTTATGACAACTATTTTTTGAAAAAAGTTAAAAAACACTGTAGTAGCCTATTTGAAAAAGTTTTATTTCATATCCTAATTCCTGGTTATCAGACTTTTCTTTATGAATAAATCTTTTTTAAAAGTAAAAAATGTTTCAATTTTCTCACATATTAAAAGGATAATCTTGTGCACCTGGGGTGCACACATCTTTGGAGATTAATGCTCTTAAAACCAATGGCGATACACACTAATCACTAGATAACCACTTCTCTGTGACAGGGCTTCCCTCTTATATGGTCAGGTTAAGAATTCTGTTTCTACTGCCCATCACAATACTGAAGAAAATTCATTTTGGCACAGCACTCATTTGAAATAAAGCAATATAAAAAAATTGCTGGCTTACATCTCTGGAGAACTTGGTTTAAGTTGTCTTGCATTGATTCTCTACATTTACTAAGAGTATGTTCATTTGTTTCATGGATCATATTCTTCAAATTTTCAAGAACTCGCATTTCTCGAAGACCACGTTTTTCCTATTAAAAGAAAATAAGTGAATAGCACATATTGTGTCTTAAATCTTAGTAATTACTTTTTAGGATTTCCACCCAGGTTTTCGTTGTTATGTTATTACTTGTTACTAAAATTTACACAGCCTTCTAATTATTTGGCAATAAATGAGGTCATAACCTAGAGGCACTTTTTTAAATTCTGAAATACTTCAAATGTTGCATTATGTGTAATATTTTTACAGCAATATTTTTAAATGGGCATGAGAAATACTAAAGGAACAAGAAAAGAGGCCTAGATTGCCACATATTTCATTCTGTACAGCACAGAAAATTAGTTACACTTGATTTGACTTTAAATTTCAGTTTTTTTATTCTTACCATATTATTATACTCTACATTTTTAAATCTGATTTCGCTTTTCTCTAACAAAAATATGAAGTAAAAGTAATATGTAGCTACTCTCCTGTGCAGAAAAGAGTTAACACTGAGGGTCCCAGACTACTATCCTTCGAGAGGCCTGCTTTCAGGGCTGGCCTTTGGCTGTGGGCTGGGAACTTGACCAGTAAATAGTTCCTTACATTGGTATAAAACATTCCATAAATGTTACGACATCTTTCTTTCTGAGAGTCTGGAATTTATCCAAGTTAGGCGGACACTGCCTACCTGACCAGTCCCCAATAAAAACTCTGGACTCCAAGGCTGAGGCAAGCTTCCCTGATAGACAACATTTCACATGTGTTGTCACAGCTCATTGCTGGGGAAATGAAGCACATACTGTGTGACTCCACTGGGAGAGGACTCTTGGAAGCTTCTGCCTGGAAGTTTCCTCCAGACTCCTCTCCATCCACATGTTCTCTTTGATGATTTTGCTCTGTATTCGTCTGCTATAAGAACACTTAGCCACCAGTATACACCACATGCTGAGTCCTTGAGTTCTAGTGAATCGCTGCACCTGGAGGTGGTCTTAATATTTCCTCCCCCGTTGAGGGTGGG